CGCTATCTTGTTCATAAATGGGGAGGATAGCAGAAGGCTGCTTCTGAGCCTGTGAATCTAAGGCCCTGTCTCGAAACCGTCACTACAGCTTTGAATCCAATGTGCTTGCCTACAGACGTACTGCTAAGCCTAAGCCCTCATTACAATCCAAACCTTCACCAAAGCCTTCTAAACCCTCATCAAAGCCCTTCTTAACCCTGATCAATCGCCTCAAAACCCTTAGATTCTGCAAATAGGAGATCGTGCACCTCTCTGCCGAGAATACGCCAGGGCCTTGATGTGTTCGGGGCCCTAAACCCTAAGATTGCAATCCCCAGGGTTTTGTAGGGGGTTAGAGTTTAGGGTTGAGGGTTTAGTTGGATAAGAGTTCAGGGTTTCGGGTTTGGAGTTTAGGGTTTCTCCATGAGAGGCGGAGATGACTGTATGGTAGAAGCACACTCCTTTCCCAAAAACCTGTTATTGTTGATTAAGGCGTCAACGAGCTTGGAGTTTGACGTTTTGGGTGACGGTTTGGGAGTGTGGGCATTTGGTTTTAGTGTTTAGGTTAATGGCTTTGGATTTCCTTTTTGGGCAATGTAGGTTCAACTCCGAACGGGTGACGACTAAGCCCCTAAGGCTTTAGCCCCTGAGCCCCGAAACCTTCTCAACCTCCGAAACCCTGAACCGCCAGGCCCTACTTCGAGGGGCAGGGGACTTAGTAAGTCGTTTATAAGTAGGGTTATAATTGGGGTAACTCCATTTAGGGTACTTATTACTAAGTCCCCTTCCCCTCCAAGTAAACGCCAGGCCAGAAATACTTGTGCAGTTTTAGGAGCTTCGCCATTTACTATTTTGGGGACCGAAAAGAGGGACCCTAAGTTAGAAAGCTACCCATATACTGGCCTAGTTGGGCATTAACCCTCAACCCTAAACCCCTTCAGAGAGCTGCAGGTCTTCTTGTTACCACATGGCCGGCTACGAGGAGCAGGCGCCTCTCGCGAGAAAATATCGGGGGCGGGGTGTCTTTTCTGGAACTGGGAGTGTGGGGGCTCATGAGGTTTCCAGGGGTTTAGGGTTTTTTTGATGGGATGGCAATACTCTTAGGGTTGGGAGTACTATAGGTCTTATAAGTTTTCCATGGGAGCTATAGGTTTTTTGTTACGAGCTGTTTTCGGAACATGCAAGGGTTCAAAGGGGATTTGCATGTAAGGGCATCGTATGCAGGCGGTGATCCTGGTATTTAGGGTCTTCACTGAGGTTCCCTCATACCCAAAGTAAATCTTCAAGTAAGTGTCTTCTGTGAGCGGGCTTCTCATAGGTTGGAGCCTGCCTTTGTTCCTATCCTAGGATTTAGGATGTAGTTTTTGCGCCACTATCAAGCCCTTCACGTATAAATCCAAGAACTAACGCTTTCAACCCGAAGCCCCACAACCCATGCATCATGCATGACGACTTCCTTGGGGCTTAGTTTTCAGGGTCGAGGGCCATGGAGCTGCGCAGCATCCCAGGAGTAGCAACAAAACCCCCCCGCGGCATGGCTAAAGCCTGTGAAGCCCGAATCAGCTGAACCTGCAAAGGAGCAAAAGGACAAGGTGGCGGCGGCGCTGCGACTGCTTGAGCTCGGGCTCCAAGGGGTGTCTAGAGGTAGAGGGTTCAGTGTGTTCAAACTTCGGAGGGTTTGGGGCTCAGATCAGGGTCGTCTTTCTTGTTGCTGACAGCTCTGAAGCCCTGGTTTAGGATGAGAGCTTCATGGCATGGCTGTTTCGGCCCAAGAAGGATTGGTGCCTGAGGCCACTACATCGCGAGGTGACTTCCGACTCTTCTCCGTAGCTAAGCCATGCGTGAGGCAATCTGCATCCACATCGGTCAGGCTGGGTTCTGGCTTAGGGCTCTTAGAAGGCTCCTGAAAGGGATCTATAGGGTTCCTTAAAGGGATCTATAGGGTTCCTTACTATAGGGTTTAGGGCTTTAGGGCCTTTATGGGGTTTAGGGGCTCCGTTTAGAGGGTTCCTTAAAGGGATCTATAGGGGTTCAGGGTTTCGGGGCTTACTTGGAGGATCATGGGACTTATAGGAAGTAAGGTTATAAATACCTTACTTGGGGTTACGAGTATAGTTACCCTAATTATAACCCTAGTTACTAAGTCCCATGATCCTTTAAGTAGGGCCCAAACGATCCTGAACCTTAAACCCCTAAACCCTTTACACCCCAAGCGGTCCTGAATCCTAAGACCCCGACAGCCTAAGCCGGAGACCACCACAAGAGGGCACCTAGCAGGGAGGGTTTCAGATTTGGAGCTTAGATTTGTGCGGTTTGAGTTTTAGATCAAAACGATAGTTGAGAGGTTGTAATCAGCTGATGCCACGAGTGCTTCTGCTAGGGCGGCGTGCAGATCGGCAATGCTTGCTGGGAGCTCTTCTGCCTCGAGCACGGCATTCAGCCGGACGGCCAGATGCCCTCCGACAAGACGAGCCTTGGGCATCTACTATAGGGGCCTAAATACTATTTTGGAGGTTCTTTATTATGGATATAGTATCATGGGCCCCCTCTAATTATTATAAGGGATTCGCAGGCGGTATCCATCGGTCTTTCGTAGGGTGTACACGCGGAAATCCGAGGATTGGTGGAGGCGACGCATCTTGGACGCATTGGAGAAGACAGAGATGGCGTGGCGGAACATAGGGATGGCCCCGTCATCGTAGCAGTATCGTAGCAGTGTAGGAGAAAGGTGGTGTCAATGCTTCTGCTCTTTGACGCTCCTGGATCGTTACCAGAGCACCTTGCACAAATGATTGAGGTAGGAGCTCTGAAGCCACTAGCCACTAGCCAGGTGTCAGACCTCTCAATAGCAACTGCGACTGGTATGACATGGTATGGTACATTATGTTGCAAACTGTTTCTTTTGATGTTTGTCTTGTTTTTAGGTGTGGGCTCTGCATCACGACACTGGCAAAAAGCGTTAGTCGGACCCGTGACTGTTTCCTGTTTGCATCCAAATGCCATCACCACCCATTACCGCCGCAGCAGCATCGCCAACAGCATCGGCAGCACATCAGCGTCACCAGTGCCACCCGCGCCATCACCAGCGCTACTGGTACTTCTGTTGAATTCTTGGCCCGAGATGTCGCTTCTCACCTGACTGCTGCACCCGCTACCGCTCGCAACAAGTATTGGATTATTGGCTTTGGCCGTGCTCGTTTGTGAGGTGCGTTACTCATCCTGGTGTTGCTCGCTTGGTGATTTGCTGTCTGGTTTGCTTCTTGTGCGCGAGCTTGCTTTCCTGGTCGCGAGATGTAAAGTTCCGTTCTCATGGACATGCTTGCTTTGCATGAGGCTGGCTCCTTATCTTGAGTGCAGGGTGGATGTTGCAGTATCTCAGGGACTTGCGGTTGTCACCACTCTTGTTTCGTCGTGAGCTCTTTGGCTCTTTGTTTGAGTGCCGACAGTGGTGGCACTGCGTTTGGTCAGCTTTCTGCGGTTGTCGTGCTGATAGTACATGTTGTACACTTGACACATGGTCTGTGGCATCGTGTTTGTTTTTTACGGATGTGCACTGCAAGAAAGCAGTCAACTCAATATTAAGACGGGCGAGTTCAGTGTTTTGTTGACGGCTTCTCCCCCTACTTGGGAGACAGAAGGTGCGGATGGATCGATCACCGCCGTTTCAGAAAGCTTCGCGAAGCTTGGCGGTTGAGAAATCACGCTAGAGCCACAAAGCAGGACGAGCATGCAGTGCTGACGGATTGCAACAACTGTCCCAGCAATGTCAGAATCTCCAACACCAGCTCCGATGAAAAAGGGCAACGGTACAAGCGGCAAGGGCGGGAAGCCCGCACAGCCACCACACATGCAGGGCGCCAATGACGAGCAGTAAGTCCGTCGTGAAGCCCTTCAATCCTCAGGCGCACCTCAGAACGCGCAGGGACTACTGCAAAGAATCCTCGTCGTGGATGATATCGTGTCCAAGCGGCGTTTGCCTAAGAAAGACAACAAGAAATTTTGCAGATGTGCTTGTTGAAGCAGTTCACCACCCCGGCGGGCCTAACAGGCCTGGTCCGACGACAAGTGGCCTCAAGTTGTGATGCGTGGCAAGAGCAGAAGCAAAAGCAAGCGCAAAGGCAATGGGGGCAGAGGCAGCTTTTGCATCTTAGCATGTATCTTATCCCTTGCAGATTGCATGTGTCTGCTTAATGATGGGTCGCAGATGCCTAGTGTTTGCTTTGATTCCTGCCGGTTTCACATATGGGAGTGATGCACAAGATGCAGTGGTGGTCGTTCGTGCGCCAAACGGACCGACATCCAAGAGGCTTGTTGCGACCGCTTCGCAGTCGTGTTTGTGATGCCAAGGGCATCGATCTTCGACAAAGAAGATGAATGAGGAAAAACAAGAGGACGCAAAAGGAACATGCATGTCACATACGACAGTTAAGCCGTTGCAGCCACAACGGTTGACACCTGAGGTCACCTGACCAGCTGTGGGTGAGGAGTTTGATAGGCACGTCTCTGCGTTGCGTCAGTGGTTGTCGGCTTGTTCGTCTGCCCCGCGCGCGGCTTTACAGAATACTGCCCGTGCCTTCCGTGCACTTTGCGCTTGACGGGCTTCTGCTGGACTGTCGGCCTCCACTGGCAGAGGGAAGATCCGAGCTTTTAGCGGCAGTTTCACTGTGACCATGCTCCTGGCTTTGCACAGCGGCCGAGGCACCGCAGCATGTGTTTTTGGTTAGTTGCCAGACAGTGCCGATAGTTCCGTGTCATTGTTGTGTAGTTAGGCCGTCGTCCCGATGACTTGACGACGACCTTGAGGATTTTTCCACTTGTCATCTGTATCTTGTTTTCGCTGCTGCCCGGTTTCTATTTTTCGGGGGTGGACTGTCGGGTTGGCAAGGAAGCGAAAAAGGTGCATCAACTGGGCACATTCGATATTTCAATGACAGCTCGTCTCGCCCGCTTCATGATGTAAGGACGCCTTCAATACCTTCTTCAGTGAGACTGGGGCCGGCAAGCACGTGCCACGATGTGTGATGGTTACTTGGGCATGACATTGGCAACAGTTTTGCTTCGTGCCCTTGCCACTACCGTGACGTGCTCACAACACAGTCTTTCCTGGAATTGCAGGTGGATTTGGAGCCTACGGTCGTGGATGAGGTTCGCACAGGCACATATCGTCAGCTTTTCCACCCGGAGCAACTCATCTCCGGAAAGGAAGCTGCTCAGCTTTACAACAAGCATTTAGCAGACAAGCAAATTTCGTCGAAGAAACCACATCTGCTCAATACCATGTTTTGGAATCGTGTTGCGTTGATACGACGAAGAAATATGGACTGAGGATGCAGCAAATAATTTCGCTCGTGGACATTACACCATTGGCAAAGAGATTGTGGATCTGGTCTTGGACCGCATCAGGAAGCTTGCTGACAACTGCAGCCTGATTGAAAATCATCGTTTTGTTTTTTTTTTGGTTTGCGTTCCGTGTTCCCCAAAAGCGAGTCCAATCGGTGCCTAAATAATTACCAACAGATCTTGGGGGTTCTTGCTTTTAGCTATCGTATAATATGGGCCTATACTAATTATAAGCCACGAATATTGCCTTAGTAGCTGAGTGGATACACTTTACACTTTTTGGGATAATATTACCCACTATATAACCAAAAGTGTACACGTTTTGGGGCTTATGAACTCAGCAACTAAGTTATTTTTCGACAATTCTGTCACCAAGGCACAGGACTCCAAGGCTTCTGCGTCTACAACGCCTGCGGCGGCGGAACAGGATCAGGTCTTGGCTGCCTCATGCTCGAGAGGCTGGTTGGGCTCTGCCAAACGGTTTTGTTTCCATTTTTTGGGTTTCGGGGTTTAGGGGTTTAGGGGGTTTAGGGTTTAGGCTTTAGGGCCTAGGCGAACTGTTTTGGAAGATCTTGTGAGCTTGCAAGGCTGTCCGTGGATTATGGCAAGAAGAGCAAGATCTCCTTCACCGTGTGGTGCTGCCCTCAGGTGGCTACTGCTGTGGTCGAGCCCTACAACACAGTCTTGTGTGTGCATTCTCTCCTGGAGCACACCGATGTGACCATCATGCACCTCGAATGATCTTTGCAACGATTTGTGTGCCATGCTCATTTTTTATAGGCCCAAGCTACGATGATGCAAGACCCAACCGAGGTACGACAACGAGGCATTGTATGATATTTGCCGAAGGAAGCTTGCCTCACATTGGACTGGTCATGATAGGTCGGATAGATTGCATAGGTGTGTTTTGCAACTTCAGACGTTTAGTCACCGGCTGAGACACGTATATGCACACCTTCATACTCTCGACTTTGCTGCATGCTGCTCTAGGAACCTGGACATCGAGCGACCCACGTACACCAACCTGAACCGCCTCATCGCTCAGATCATTTCAAGCTTGACCGCATCGCTGCGCTTCGATGGAGCCTTGAACGTGGATATTACGGAGTTCCAGACCAACTTGGTCCCCTACCCCCGCATCCACTTCATGTTGACGTCCTACGCCCCGGTCATCTCGGCTGAGAAAGCATACCACGAGCAGCTGTCCGTGGCCGAGATCACCATGTCTGTTTTCGAGCCGGCATCCATGATGGTTAAGTGCGACCCACGCCACTTGGCAGAACTTTGCTATTCCTTTGTGGCTGCAACACTGTGGAAGTCGGGTTTCTTGAATGATTGTTGGTACGAAGCACGGTTGTACCAATCTGCAACCAAGGCCACGGCAAATACATGGCCTGCTGCATGATGTACCGTGCAGCTCTCAGGACAACGTCAGTCAGCTTTCAGGAAGGAAACAGATTGTACGTCACCCATCTGTTCCGAAAGATGGCAGATGTTCAGGCATTTGTCTATGTTTGCCGTGGTATGCTGTAATGATCACGGTACTGCATTGCAACAGATCATAGCCGAGAGCATGCAGTACACAACAACATACAGTGTCACAATATACTGTTGTGAGACTACCATGCTCGTCAAAGTGATACAATGTGTGTAAGCACTTCACGTAATACGAAGCCGTATCGATCGTATTGTCATATGGGGGCTTTGCAGCTGTTGCCGGCTTGCTTGTCTCAGGTGGCGATGTGGTTCCGAAGGACGTGAACGCCGCAGTGGCTACCATCAAAACAAAGCGTACCATCCAGTTTGTGGATTGGTGCCCCACCGGCTTCAAGTGCGGCATCAACTACCAGCCGCCGACCGTGGTGCCCGGTGGAGATTTGGCCAAGGTCATGCGTGCCTGCTGCATGTACCCAGGCAGAACTTGGTTCGGAGAGGCTGCAGCTGTAGATGCGAAGGCTTTCGCCGCAATATCCAAGCCAATTCATCCGTCATCGTACATTACAGGGCATGCTGTAGTGAATTGAAGCAGATGGCATTGTGTTTGCCGAGGATCTCGAACAGCACGGCCATCGCCGAAGTCTTTTCGCGCATCGATCACAAGTTTGACCTCATGTACTCCAAGCGCGCCTTCGTCCACCACTATGTCGGCGAAGGCATGGAAGAGGGCGAATTTTCTGAGGCTCGCGAAGATTTGGCCGCTTTGGAGAAGGCCGAGCGGAAGCAACCGTTTAGCTTTTTTGATTCATTTTGACCAAATCAGATAATCGACCTCTTTAGCTTTGCCGGTTGTTTGAATTGAAATTGTCCTTCCGGCGATTTTGCACAAGCTTGGCACCGAAAGGACTACGAAGAGGTTGGCATCGAAACAGCAGAGGGCGAGGGAGAGGAAGAAGGTTACGGTGATGAGTTCTGAGAACATCGCTGTTGCAGCCCAAGGAGCAGGAAATGCTCTAAGTCTCCCCTTCATGATCTGCCAGTTAGGGTTCAAGCAAATCAATGGTGTGTTCCTTGGGAAGTGCGCGATACCTTGTGTCAAGTGACGGGTAGAAAGGTACCTGTTGCGGGCAATGCTCGGACTGTTCGTGCAAGACTGTGTCCAAGCTTTGGCAAGAAGAAGGCTTGCCAGCGCACTGTGCAAAATGTTGGTGGTCCTTGCTTACTTGGGATAAGGTTTAAGATTCAGGCTTTTGGTTGGGTTTGGGATTGTTCCGTCCTGGCTCAGGCACGAGCTTTTCCACTCCACGGCAGGCAGCGACGCTGCCACAGGCTGGATCTCGCTTAACTAAAGAAACAAGTTGGGAGAGGAACGCTGTATTCATGCTGGGAAAAGCGTTTGTAGGGCACGGAACAGGAGGCACAGAAGCATTAATTGCATCAGCAGGACGACAGGTACCTGTCGTACTTGTGAACTTGCGGGGAACCTCACTCTGAACTGAACTGCGGGTCGAACCCAGACACCGATTAGGAGAACGCCAAGAGGCTTGCACTCCTTGTTGCCATCACTTGTGTCGCGGTGTCCAGAAGCTTTTGCAGGTTTGTTCGTGGATTGGTTCTGCCTCCGGCAAATGCTTGGCGACATTCAGGTCCATAAACCCCAAAAGCATCAAACCCCTCAAACCCTAAACCGAAGCCTTTAGATATCGAAGTGCTGCACCCCTAAACACCCCAAACCCTGTAAACTGCAGCATGCTGGGAAGATCCCTTGCAGCCACAGGTCCTGCTGGCGAGGCTGGTGTTTCTGAGAGTTGTGGGGTTTAAGGTTTACAGGGTTGTAGAGTTACAGTTATGGGCCATTGGGCTTAAGGTGCTTTAGGGGGTTTAGGGTTTAGGGCCTGGGGATTAGAACCACAAAAGGGGAGTTTCAGAAAACAAAGGACCCGAACATCTTCTTGAGCCTTGATTGGGTTGCAGGTGTTTGGCTTTCCCACGTGGTTGTTGACTGCGTGCCAGCTAAGCCTTCCCAGCCTCAAAACCTGCAAGCTTCAACCCCAAATCCTGAACCTTTCATATGCAAAAGCCCTGTATATAGTCCCCCTTCATATACCCTAAATCCTTTATATCATCCCCCTTCATGTACCCTAAGCCCTCTATAAAATCCCTAAACCTGGTTATAAACCTGTATAACCCTAGCTTATGGACGACGTGAGCCCTACAAGGGTTGAAGGTTCATATCCATATGCCATAATATCGGGATTCATAGTATAAGGGTAAAGGGCCCCTACTTGTAACGGGTCATTTGTCCTTTAAGGTAAACTCTAGCTAACCCTAAACCCTAAACCCTAAACCCCAAACCCTTCACTTCATGTCGCTGTGTATTTCAGTCCGGTTCATGCGTTCACCCAGGAGCCCGGAGATGAGTGCGCCAAGAGGGTGGGTCCTCTTTACTAGGACCCAGGGTAGGCCCTTATTCCCTTTTTTAGGGTTTAGGTTCTCTTATGACCCTCTTTAACCCCAAAAGGGCACCCTTTTTATTCCTAGGTTACTCTTAGGCCTAGTTTATGAGGGTTGGGGAGTTGGGGATCCAAAGAAGGACCCTAATTTTGGAGAAGTAGGCCGAAACCGCTTAAGCCTGCAACCCAGAAGTTTTGAATAGGGTTTTAGGGTTGAGGGTTCAGGATTTCTTCAACCAAAGGGACACTTGCCCAAACCATGATAGTAACTCCTTTTTCAGCAGCCCTACATTTTTACTATATACATATATAGATAGATAGATAGATACCTTAGGACCCTAAACCCGGTACCCTGAAAGTGTCCTTAAAGCGGCCCCTCCAGTACCCCTGAAAGGAACCCCTCAAAGCACCTTTTGAAGGGCGCTGGGGACCTTTTTTTCTGCCCCCAAATCCCTGCAATCCGGCACCCCTAAAGTACCCTTAAAGGGTACACCCTTGTAGTTCCCTTTATAGTACCCTTAAAGGGTACCCTTATAGTACCCTTTAAGGGAACCTAGGACCCTTGTTGGGCCCCTGCAGCTCCTGGCAGGCGCCTGCTGGAGTGGCAGCAGGAAGCAAGGCCCCCGCGACCTCGAAGAGTCTTACCCGTTTAGGGCTTAGGGTTCGGGGTTTAGGGTTCAGGGCTTAGGGTTCAGGGTTCAGGGTTTAGGGTTCAGGGCTTAGGGCTTTAGGGTTCAGGGTTCAGGGTTCAGGGTTTAAGGGTTCAGGGCTTAGGGTTCAGGGTTCAGGGTTGAGGGTTCAGGGTTCAGGGTTTAGGGTTCAGGGCTTAGGGTTCAGGGTTCAGGGTTTAGGGTTCAGGGCTTAGGGCTTTAGGGTTCAGGGTTGAGGGTTCAGGGTTCAGGGTTTAGGGTTCAGGGTTTAGAATCTAAGGGTTAGGGGGTAGAGTCTTCGGGTTTAGGGTAAGAGGTTTATCAGGGTTATAGGTTGATAGGGTTGCAGAGTCTTCGGTTTGTGCCAAGGGGTTCAATAGGGTTTGGGGTTATAGGTTTATGGAGGGTTATAGGGTTTAGGGTTTGGGCTAAGGGGTTCAAAAGGGTTTATGTTTCGGGGTTCCGGGGGTTCGGGTATAGGCTTTAGGGGCTAGGGTTCAGGGTTTGAGGTTAGGGTGTAGGGTTTAGGCTTGGCGTTCCTGCAAGGCTTCGTTCAAGGCTTCCACAAGAGGTTCTGGAAGGGATCTACAAGGGTTCTATGAAGATTTGTGCTAGGATCTGGGGCCATTTGCTTGGGGCCTGGCTCTTGGGGAGCAGGTTTCAACTCGCAGGGTTAGGGCTGGAGCAACTCCTTAAGAAGCCGCAAGAGCAGAGTGACAAAACCTAGTCAACGCTAGGTTTTTGGCTTTTGCTAAACAACAGCAAGTACACTTTGAGTCCCTGGTACCGAGCCACCCCCCGTGTGCCGACAGTCTCAGGCAAGAGGCTTTGGCAAGCAAAGCATGGCTTACCTGAATCCTAGGACACGTTACTCTAAACCCTAAACCCTAAGCCATGGCCCTATCTCTGAACCCTAAACCCTAAACCCCTAAACCCTAAACCCTAAACCCGTAAAGTGTCAGGACAGCTCCATCAAAGCTGCAGCGCCCCTGCTCCTCACGAAGCAGACGGCCAAGCGGCTCATTTGTCAGGCTTGGGAGCTTGGGCTCTCTCTTTAATACAGGGTTTAAGGGTTTAGGGTTTTAGGGTTTAGGGTTAAGGGTATTAGGGTTTTAGGGTTTTAGGGTTTAGGGTTTAGGGTTTTAGGGTTTTGGTGGGGTGTTTAGGGTTTAGGGCTTAGGCCCTGCTAAACAGAATAGGGTGGGGAGGGGTTATGTTGTCGCAGAATTATACCCTGGTATTTTCTGGTATCAGCACAAATTCTCGCGACGTCCACATTAGCTTTTGCTGGCTTTCGGATTTCAGGGTCTGCGGCTTTGATGTTTTGGGCTTTCGGTCTTCAGGGTGTCGGAGTAGATCAGGTTTCACGGAATCAGAGAGTTTATGGCACACGGCATTTAGGAGAACCTAGTTCCGATCAATAAAGCTGCCTCTTCTTCAAGAGTTGCATCGGCGAATCGGGCCGAGGTTTGAAACAGTGGTGGACATGACAGCTTTTCAATCCGGGAATCTACCTGAAACCCGATACCCCAAAACCATAAACTCCAAACCATAAGCTTTGAAAATGAAATTAGAGTTTCAGGGGGTTTGCTCTACCGCGGCTTACGCTGACTTCCGCCCCCTCGTGGCAGAGAAGCAGAGGTGCTAGGAACGGTTTATTTACAGCCTCATTGGAAGAATGGACGCCAGCACCTTGTAATTATGAAGGCTCAACATGAGGCTGTTTGCAGCCAGTACATCCCTGTGTGGCTTTCAAACCATACGCTCCTTCAGCATGCATATGAGGTCCGTAGAGCCGCATGTCCTCAAATTATAGATCCCTGAGCGTGAAGTCTTCAAATCCTAAACCCTAAAAACCCTAAACCCACAACTGTGGCTTTCGCCGACCTTCACTGCTAGGTAGCAAAAGGCATTCAAAACAACGACCTGAGCCCGAAGCCTCACGCCCTAAAGTATAGCTTCCGTAAGAATTACTTTTAACTTTTGTTCATATAAAACCCAAGAGAGTATTAGACATAGTATTTTTATTATGGTTCTTTTGGGGGGGTATAGGAAAGCAGCAAGCACTCGCAGGCTGAGCGGGAGGAGGCGGAAGCGCAAGCTGCTGCCCAGCTACCGACAGTGGAGGCTCATGCCTTAGAAAACATGCATGGGGAGTTCTGTCTTGGGGTTAGGGTTTAGAGTGGCTTTATGGGTTCTGCCAGATGTATGACATGACTTTATCATTTTGTTGTTTATGTGTTTCGTAGCCTGTGTTCCTCTGCCTTTGGGTCAGCGGATGCTTCTTCTGTTGCTATCTCTAGCATCTAGAGTTCGTATTGAGATCCCCCAGTGCTCCCATGCCGGCTGTGCTGGTTTTGGTACAATGCTGCAGGAGTACCCTCAGGGTGCACTTACCTCGTACTTATAATATCCCCGCAGATACCAACCTGCACTTACTGCTGCCTGTATATGAAGCTAACTACTGAGCACTCGAACCTTCCACTATGGGCTATTAGACCCTAAAGATCCCTATTAGGACCCTATTAAGGGTAGATTAAGGTACCCTTAAGGCCTAATAGCCCATAGTGGTTTTCGGAGCCCGTGTATATTGCCTGAGATTTAGTGGATCGGGGACTCAGCCACCAAGCTGAACGGTTTCTCACTCAACCATCCTTGGCCTAATGTAATTCTCGCATGGTATGATATCGTATTAGTATACTTTTTCTATATCTCAGCATTAGTATGCTATAGTAACGTTATAGCAATATTATAACTGACGGCGGGAAATTATGGCCAATAAACGGCTCAAAGCGCAGGCTGTTCGATTGGAGCCACGTCGGAAGGCCACGGGCAACTGACCTGTAAAGCTTAGTGGCGTTTAGGGAGACTTTGGCGAATGACTCGATAGGAGCAGGGTAATTTGGCACAAAAGGTCAGCAGGCCGTGCAGTAGGCCTTGCCTTGCATGTCTAGGCTTGGGTGTTACAGCAAAGGACTTGCCGGTTTCCGAATTACGCCCCTCAGCTTGGATGTACTTGAGAAACGGCAAGGCCCTACAGAGGGGCCCTACACCCAACCCAAGCTCAATATCTACGCCACGAGCTGCTTGAGCCCGAAGGTTCGGGCTTAATATACTTGTCACTCCCAAAACAGTTCGTGGGATTTGGGGCTTAGTGTCCCCACAATACTCTAAAGCGCCTAGCCCTGTCCCGGTCCCTCTTCAAGTTGTGTTTCATGTCCTGGAAGTGGCTGAACAAGAGGGCAGTAGGTGCTTAAAGACCTCAGGAACAAACCCCAGCCCTTAAGCCAGCAAAGTCCAAGCCTTGATCCCTGAGCCCTACATAAACCCCCACGCACGTAAACCCGAACTTGGTGGCCGTAAGCTTATATGTAGCACTCCCTAGTATATATATATATATATATATATATATATATATATAGAATCAAACACATACTTATGTGTTTGAATATTCATTAAGGCCCCGATATTCTTATACCTCACATCCTGCTTTGATATATAAAGAGGCGAATCCAGGCTGCCCCCTCGGAAATCGTATCATAAACCCCGGCTGCTGCTCCTGAGATCTCCAGTTATGCCCCTTGAACCCGGATTCTGGCATTCATTAAGGCCCCTAGGTTAACCCCAATAAAGCCGTACAGCACCTGAAACAACACCCTACTGAACGAATTTCAAACCCCTGAACCCTAAACGCCGTAAATGCTCTACCCTAAACCCTAGACCTCTTAAACCCCGAACGCTGTAAACCCTAGACCCTCTAAAGCCTAAACGCCCGAAAGCCCCTTAACTCGAAAATCCCTAAGCCTCAAGCACCCCTTTTCCGCAATCCTAAACGACTTGTCCGTAAAGCGCTGCAGCAGGCGCGTGTCAAGGAAGCGCTGAACCAATCGATGTCCGACCTCTCGGAGTCCTGCCAAGACTTAGATACATAGTGCAATGCGGTATAAGGGCATACAGTAGAATATGCAAATATCAGTCATAGAGTATGAGTATAATATAGTACAATATAATACAATATGTATCATATAACATGATACAGCATATTATAGCAGAATATAGCATAATATGGTTGATATAACATAGTAAAATGTAATAGAATATAATACAATAGAATAGAAACATGGTTTAATACAAAGCAACATATTTCATAGAATATAGCATGGTTTAGCATGCTGTAACATAATATAACATAACATAACATAATATAACTAATATTATTAGCTAAAACATACAATATAAGATGACAGAATATAATAAACTGTATCAGAATCTAACATAATGTAGTTCATATAATCAAGTAACATATGTTATAGAATATGCTTTAATATGATCTAATGTAATAGGTTGTAATATGGCATTAGATGATATATTGTATCACAATGCAACATAGTATAATTTGTCATAGTACCCTACACATATTCTGTATATACCCATATCCTATATATATAGAGAGAGAGAGAGAGAGAGAGAGAGAGAGAGAGAGAGAGAGATAGTTATATGTATACAGATATACGCACACATAGAGCTACATGGTGCAGTTTGGGCTCTGGGGTCTGGGGGACTAGAGTGACAAAACTTGTTGCCTTGCCACGCAAAGTCACTGTTGTTGCCTCTTCTGTTGCTCCTGCCACTTTTGGTCTCATCAATGTCGTCATTGTTGTTGCTGCTTTTGCTGCTTTTTCTGCTGCTGCTGCTGCTGTTGCTGCTTCTTTGTTGTGGCCCCATGGTACTCCGAAGTCCGGCAATCCACTCTTCGAGCACTTCCTCTCAGATCTTGGAGCAGATCCGGGAGCGCTGAGCCCGAAAAGAGCGCCGCAACCCCGAAACCCTTAGATCATTGTAGTATTATTTCATCATATTACAGTATACTGTAGTATATTAGAGTGTATTACAGTATCTTATCGTACATTATAGTATATTATACTTAGTGCCTCTTCTCTGAGGACAAAGAGTCGGATGACAGCTGGACGCTCAGAGTCTGCCATAGTCGCAGGGTTTCAGGGTTTAGAGTTTAGAGGTTGGGGTTTAGGGTTTTAGGGTTTAGGGGTTTAGGGTTTGTGGATGAGAAACTGCAAGCTGCATAGAGTCTCTGATCATTGGAGCAGCGTCGGAAGCTGCGCCAATATACTTAAAGGATCACGGGACTTAGTAAGTAGGGTTATACTTAGGGTAACTATACTTATAACCCCAATTAAGGTACTTATAGCCTTACATACTCAGTCCCATGATCCTCCAAGTAAGAATGCATGCTGCATCTTCTGTGAACGTTAGTGTGCCCCACTAGTGTGCCCCCCCCAGCGTTAGGGTTTAGGGTTTCGGGTTTATAGGGTTTAGAATTTAGTCCTGGACTGATCAGATGTGAAATGCGAAGCTAATTCGCCTGGTGCCAGCAGACTGCACCCTACCCTAAGGCCCTAAAGTAGTTCCTTTTTGGGGGTTCATATATAGAATCCTATTAGGTAGTCCCAAAAAGGAGCTACTTTGGGTCTTAGGGTAAGCCACACCAGGTGCACGCTCGGATCTGGCAGATACTGGCCGGATCCAAAGATTCTTCACAGTTGCATCAAAGAGTGCTTTTGTGGAAGGTGGATCCTGTTCGCAAGGACCTTTCGAAGTAGACATGTCGAGTTGGATGGAGAGCCGCTACCTTTTCTGAAGTTGTTGCCTCTGTTGTCCCCATCTCTGCACACATAGACGGCTCAAGCTTCCGGAGGGCACCACTCAGAGACACGTCGGATGGCATGTCAGAGAAGGTCACACACGTGCACATGCGCGCATACTCAGACATGGACAAACCTTGACAAACACCGCCATATTCAGTACAGGACAGACCAAGGGAAGTAAGGCCTTACATGGATGAACAACTGCGCGAACCGTTAGGTGAGGACCCCATGGCCTTGCTACTAGTACTGCCTCCGTCACCAAGTTGCACCGGTACAGTATGTCCTCAGACAAGCCGGAGAAGCTTTCTGAGGTGAAAGAGCAAATTTCTCGTCTCGCTGAATGAGGCAGTTTGTTGCTGTCGCGCCAAAGCGAGAAATGGAGGGGGAAGCTAATGTCTCTTTTCGCTCAACAAGTTGCCCGTGGATGATGCTGTGCGGAAGCGTGAAAGACTGCGGACACGTGCCTGAGAGAGCCCTGCTGAAGGATTGTCTTTTCTTAGAAAAGACAATCCTTCAGCAGGGCTCTCTCAGGCACGTGTCCGCATTCTTTCATGTTGTCACGTTGCCGCACAGTATCCACGGGCAACATGCTGGCTGATCGAAAAGAATCTGGCCGCGCTCATCTTTTTTCTGTTGCTCCCAGGATTGGAGTTTGGGCTGCGTGCGTTCCACCTCACAGCTGACCCTCGATTCCCAAATCCGTGATCACCAATCTGGAAACTCGAATCTTAGCCTCCGAATCCCGAAAGTGGAAATCCAAATCTCTGCTCTGGCGGAGTTCGAGGAGCTGTCGGCCGTCGATGCCCAAGAGCACGTTGCCGAGAAGGAACTGAAGCAGCTGCGGCAGACAGTTGATCCGCACGACGTGGTTCGCAAAGGGCCGAAAGCTGGACCCCGACCAAAGGGAGGGTATACCGGGTGCGTCCGACTCCAAGAGAGCCCTGCTGAAGGATTGTCTTTTCTTTAAGAGACAATCCTTCAACAGGGCTCTCTCAGGCACGTGTCCGCATTCTTTCATGTTGTCACGTTGCCGCACAGTATCCACGGGCAACATGCTGGCTGATCGAAAAGAATCTGGCCGCGCTCATCTTTTTTCTGTTGCTCCCAGGATTGGAGTTTGGGCTGCGTGCGTTCCACCTCACAGCTGACCCTCGATTCCCAAATCCGTGATCACCAATCTGGAAACTCGAATCTTAGCCTCCGAATCCCGAAAGTGGAAATCCAAATCTCTGCTCTGGCGGAGTTCGAGGAGCTGTCGGCCGTCGATGCCCAAGAGCACGTTGCCGAGAAGGAACTGAAGCAGCTGCGGCAGACAGTTGATCCCCACGACGTGGTTCGCAAAGGGCCGAAAGCTGGACCCCGACCAAAGGGAGGGTATACCGGGTGCGTCCGACTCCAAGAGAGCCCTGCTGAAGGATTGTCTTTTCTTTAAGAGACAATCCTTCAGCAGGGCTCTCTCAGGCACGTGTCCGCATTCTTTCATGTTGCCACGTTGCCGCACAGTATCCACGGGCAACATGCTGGCTGATCGAAAAGAATCTGGCCGCGCTCATCTGTCTTCTGTTGCTCCCAGGATTGGAGTTTTGGCTGCGTGCGTTCCACCTCACAGCTGACCCTCGATTCCCAAATCCGTGATCACCAATCTGGAAACTCGAATCTTAGCCTCCGAATCCCGAAAGTGGAAATCCAAATCTCTGCTCTGGCGGAGTTCGAGGAGTTGTCGGCCGTCGATGCCCAAGAGCACGTTGCCGAGAAGGAACTGAAGCAGCTGCGGCAGACAGTTGATCCGCACGACGTGGTTCGCAAAGCCGAAAGCTGGACCCCGACCAAAGGAAGGTATACCGGGTGCGTCCGACTCCAAGAGAGCGGTCTCAGCTTCGATGGCCTGATCTGAGGCTCGCATCAGGCTCTTCGTCGTGGAGGGGATTAGGACGGCACATGGTATCGTCTGACTACTGTCCGCTCTGCATCGACAATGTGAAGCTACGCTGGAAGCTCATCATTGAGAAGATGGAAGAGGTGCCGGATAGTTGGACAACGTGCTGAAGTTCCAGACAGGAGGAGCCTGGTACTCTCCAGGACACCCCAGGCTACAGATACATTGCAGCTACATGGAGTTCGAGGAGATGGATCCTGACCAGTGCGACAAAGATGTGCCTGGACCCTACCTTTGCGTGGCTTTTGATTTGAGAGTCAAAGGATGGTCTCGATGGCCGGAGATAGAATTTCTAGGACCTAGAGTAGGCTCTTATTCCCCTTTTTTAGGGCTCAGGCTTGTCGACTAATACACGGGCCTAAATAATTACCAACACTGTTTGCGACAGGGGCCTGAATATTTCCCAGTGCTATTTAAGACAGGGGCGTAAATAAGTAACAATACTAATTTTAGGGGTCATTATCAAAATATAGTATAATATACCCCCAAATCCGATTCTACTTATGAAGGCCCCTACACTACTTGTCCGGCACTGCAACCCTTCGATGAAGATCCCGGGAGCAAGCTGTGCGCGTGGCTCAGGTCTTTCAGGTGGGAAGAATTTCCAGAGATTGGTGAGCATGAAGCACTCCGTTGCGCAATCACGGCAATAGTACTTCCGTCGCGAAGAGGGAGGTGAGGAGGCGGACGACAAGGCTTCGGTCGAGATGGGCACAGTGCAAGACCCTGCAACTTACCTTTGGGGCACTAGGACCCAGAGTAGGCCCTTATTCCCTTTTTGAGGGTTCAGGTTCCCTTATAAGCCCCTTTAAACCAAAAAGGGCACCCTTTTTATTCCTAAGTTACTCTTGGGTCTAGGGCAAAGGGGGGGGCGGGCTGCTACCAGCGATCGACAACAGAAGCAGGCCTTGGTGAACAGTACCAGTAAACTGTACTTGGAGGATCATGGGACTGAGTAAGTAAGGTTATAAGTACCTTAATTGGGGTTATAAGTATAGTTACCCTAATTATAACCCTAGTTACTAAGTCCCAGGAGCCTTTAAGTATATAGTAGGCGATGTACTTCGTTCACTGCCAGTCCACGAGGTACATCGCCTACTACATACAGGGGCCCTAATAATTACCTGTACCAGTTTTTTGGGGGGGTTCCTCACTATACTTTTAGTAGAGTATGCTCCAAAACCCTGTTTCTACTTATTAAGGCCCCTATATTACTCCGGGTGCAAAAAGACGTTGCTGTCGGGAGCCATGGCCGGCTTGGAATGGAGGCAGCAACGACTACTACGAGACGCAAGTCACCCAATTTTAGACGTCGGAGGATCCTACGCCCTGAGCCCTAAAACCTCAGCACTAACCGAGGGAAAAAGGGCGTTCAACAAGACCTCAGACTCTGGAGGATGGACAAGTAGAGCATCAAAAAAGGGCACGACCATCACCTGGGGCTCCCTTAGGCGGCTTCGTGTACGCTACACAGCACTCGGCACCATGAGGGTTTATGGGTTTATAGGATGTAGGGTTTTTAAGTTTTACTTAGTTTTCGACAAGCGTGCAAATTATTTCTGTTCCGCTCTTCCAGCTTCCGAGGCGGGGCGGGGAGGCTCGCCGGCCGGGGTTCCGCTGCAAGGGGTGGGACTTGATGCTTCAAGGCTCACAAAGAACTTTTGTTTTCGCAGGTTCTCGGGATCATGGGTGAGTCATGAGCCAAGTCTTTGAGATTCTTGCCCTGCGCACGAGATCCATGACATCGTGAAATCTTCCTGCTGAAGGTTAACCCGTACTTAGCTCAAGTAAACTAGCCAAACAGCAGTCAGGGAGATGTTGCCTGGAAGTACTTCAACCAGATTTACTAGGTAGGGCTTTGGGACATTTTATATTTTCCCTTATTGGGTTTAAGAGGATATTATTTACCAATATTTGTCAAAGGCTTTAAAAGCCCCACCTAGGTTGGCTGCTGGCTAGCAAAGCCTGCTGTGTAAATCCACCATTAGCCTTGCGCAGGGCACGCCGGCGATGGAGTGATCAGCGGTTGTTGGGGTCTCGACTGAGGGGTGTGATCTTTAATGGGCTATATATGCTCAGGATTTGGAGATTCAAAGGTTCAGGTTCTTAGCGTTTTGTTTCTGTGCTAGCTTTTGGGGGGTGGGTGGGATAGGCTCGTGATCAAGGCTCTACTTGCGAATGCCGCACCATGGTGGTTCATCTTCGGACTGATCGGCGTGCCTGCTGCAGCTGTCCCGAGGTCAGACCATGTAACTTCGCTACGACTGGACAAGTACTGATTGCCTCAAGGGGTCAGGTCACGTTCGGTGTGACTCTTGCCCCCTCAGCCAAGCATCTAAGGATCCACATCCTCACGAGGTGGCTGCCAACCTGCAGTTGCCTACCCGTAGCCCAGGTTCATATGGGAGATTCCAACAATAGGGGAGCCCAGTATACTACCCTAAATAGTAGGACCCGTATTATAAGGACCCCCTCAAAAAAGGCCCAAAAAGGTACTCCTCATTTTCGGAAACTCCCATGTTTGTTAGAACGCCTCAGAGGGCAAACCCTCAGTCCCAAGTCTGGCAAGTCCTTCTCAGGAATTCCATGCTGCAGCGCCGGGCTCTCGAGAAGTACCTATAGTCTCCATTGTAGTTCCTTTTCCTGGTTAACGAGTTTTATGGTGAGGATCCTACAATATAGTTTTTGGTTAGCCAAAAAAGGATTTGCAATGGAAACTATAGGTACAGCTCAGTGGTGATGCGTTCTTGAATTTGTGGACATCCAAGCCGAAGCTTGGGGGCTTGCACATTGGGTGCTAAGCGTAAACTTGGGCGTATGATTCAAGATGCACAGCTACATGCATGTAAGTCATGGCAGCCGTAGCCTTAGATTCTAGCTCGGAAGATGTGACCGTTTTGCGATGTGTAGCAAACTGCAATCATTTCACACCCCTCAGGACCCTAAGCACCAAACTCCAACTCCAACCCGCAGTCATTGAGCCGAACGCCTTCTGCAAAGTCCAGCTCTGTTTGACAGCTGACGCTGACAGGTGACTATTCGCCGATCTCCAACACGCCGCGAGTGTGATGCTGCCAAGCTTCATGCACTATTGAGAAAGCATGTTTCTCGAATCTGTGAAAATGCATTCGACAATTTAGTATACTCGAAATCCGGGTCTAGAATCCCTAAATTCTTTCTTATCCCATGAAGGAACCCCTTAAATATCTGAGCCAAGAACCTTCTTCAACCCGTATTCAACTATAGTAATTATAACCTACACCAAGAGCCTATTCAGATTTTTAAGGCCCCTATACTAAACCCTTCTAGTAACCCTTCCCTTACCCGGCATAACCTACCTTTTCATTGACTTGTATAAGGAAATCATAATAAGGAACCCAAAACAGGCAGGATATTCAGGGTTAAGGTATGGTCTATATTATACATCCCCCATGCCCTAAACCCTAAACCCTAAACCCTAAACCCTTGCAGACTCTGCTGGATGGAAAAAGGCGTTCAAAAAAAAAAAAAACCCTAAACCGATATTCAGGGTTAAGGTATGGTCTATATTATACATCCCCCCATGCTCGCCCGTCTCGCCAGGTCCGCCTCCCGGACGCCGCAGCACTCGGAGACCGGCGGACTGCGCAGCCGAGGAGGTCTCCGGAAGCGTTTTCTGGTGGTTTAAGGAACACATACCCAGAGGGTCCAAGTACCCTAATAGTAGGGTTTTAGATCCCAAAATCCATACCCTGAGTGGTTTTTGGATCTTGAACCCCTACTATTTTGGTTCTTGGACCCTTAGGGATAGTGGTTATAGAAGGGTTTAGGGTTATATTATATAGGGGTTATAATTTTGGGGCCTTATCATGGTTAGAACAGGGTTTTGGGATACCTTCTACAATATCTGTAATAATGAACCACCAAGATAATGTAAGATTATGAAGGCGCCTATATTATATGGTCGCGCCCCGGCAGGCACCCTTCCCCTTCTCCTGGTTCTCATGGTACGTCTCAGGAATGAATTCGGCCTCCTAGCTCACTGCAGCTCTCGACCACCCATTGGCATCCATTGACCAGACTATGAAGTTTGGAAGCCCTTTCCGTTCTCAGTCCGCAACTCCCATGCTCCCCGAGCCGAGTTTGATGTTGCTAACAGAAACGAGAATGGCAGAAGTCCCCCCCCATTCAGGCCTCTTCGGCGTGCTCGAGGCGGATGAGCATGCGGATGAAGAGGCGCTGGCTTCGGGTTGTTGGATGTTGAGGGTGGCACTGTGCTTGAGAGCTTTTCACGCGGGGCTGAACTATTTAAAATAGCTGAGTATCGTACAGTGTACCAGGGTTCTTCAAGTTACACCGCATACTGGCTATAGAAGCCTTGATAATGTGATGGGATGTGATGGGGATTCAAAGTATAGGGCTCTGCGGTTGCCGGGTGTTTGGGTGTCGGTTTTGGACGTTGCTCTGAATTCGACGATTCAAGAAGGACCCATGACTTGAACCTCAAACTCTACACATACTTTGATTGATTTTATACCTTAAACTCTACCTTCTTCGTGACACCATCTACCCTTGGAGCCCTCGGTCCGAAACCCTTCAACCCC